TCAAGGACAAGCAGGATTACAGTCTCAAAAAAAAAAAAAAAAAAAAAAAACAAAAACAAAACAAAACAAAAAAAAAAAAACCAACACATGTACACACTTATGAAAACACATATATACATAGATTGTATTACAGGAGAAGGCACTGAGACCCTGAAACTCATGTCTATTTCTTAAAATTTTATTTTATTGGAGGGGAGATCACATTAGACCACTTTTACTGGCTTGATTCTGGTGGCACATATTATACTCCGAGCTTTCTTCCTAGGAACTGCACAGATTTTTTTTTGCCACTCTACATGAATGATCCTTCATTTTCCCACAAACAACTGAGAGGCAACATGAGACTGTACTAGTTAATATGTTTGCATTTTGGGTGGGCCAAATAGGAAAAAATAACAGCAAAATTAATGATTGCACCACTCAGCCCCACATCCCTGTATTTCTATGAAAGACTTTCTCACCCTTGTGGGATGTGAGAAGAATTAGAGAAATAAGAGCAAGCAAGACATGAGCCTTTGGTTCATTGTTACTAGTGTATTCCCAATACCCAGAATAGTATTTAATAAATATTTGTTATGACAGGGCTAGTGGCACATGTCCATAATCTCAACAGTGACAGGAAGAGTCAGGAAGACAACTCTGTGTGAAACCAACCATATCTGAAGAGTGAGTTCTGGCCATGGTTATATAGGGATACCTAGTTTCAAAATGAATAAATAAAAAGGCTGAATGAATTGAAGGAAACTGTAAAACAAAGATGACCAAAAGTATCCCCAAAAGGACTCCTATAAAACAGAGACGTGGGAGCTGTTGGCTAAAGTCACTGATGGGCCATGCAATCAATTTAGTAGCATTATTATTATGCATTGAACATCTGTTTTGTGTAAGCAAGGGTAGGGCTGTGGAGGTTGTGGTAGTTGGCTGTCTCCTTCCACCTTGTGGACTGAAGAGAGGGAAGGTAGGAGCTCAAGATGGATGGCAAATGCCTCTACTTGTGGAGCCATCTTGCCAGCCCTATTATTATTATTATCTTAAGAAGAGACTAGAAACAGATATCTTAGGGAAAGGGAATGACTGTTTTTTTTGAAACTCTTATTTCAAATTCCCCTATTGCAATATAAAATATATTTCTTACTAGTTAAAGTATTGAGAGAAAGATGTTTGCTTTGGGGTATTAAAACAGATTCTCAGGCTAAAGAAATTCTTGGATCAAAATCTCTGGAACTCTGTACTTTGATCAAGATCCCTTGTGAATTCTGATATACTCTGAACTTTGGAGCTTCAGTCTAAGAGAGAACCTCTGTAGGGTCTGGAATCTGAACTGCCTTAACAGCCTTGGAAGAGCTCATCAACACATTAGTTCAACCACATTTTCATGGTCCTCACCTATTTAAAAGACAGGGACAGGCTCTTAATGACCATGAATAAAATGTCATTTCCCTCTTTCCGCTGCTGGCTTCCCTTTGGACTGTTTCCTCCCAGTTCCTTCCGTGCACTGGCCCCAAGAGCCAGCCAGAACTGCTCTGCTATAGGATTCTCACATAGCTTTAGTCATCTCACAGAAACAGATGCAGAGGAATTTAGTTGCCAGATGTGAGGCTGGAATGCAGCCCATGGGGAAAGCTTGCTCTAGCAAAGAACCAACAAAAGCCCTGGGCCAGTCACCAGATCTCTGGTACAGCAGGTGTGGCCTGTCCTGCCCTAATCCTGGCAGAGTTATTAGCCACCTGTCCTGACAACTGCAAGCAAAACTCGAAGAGATGAGAATCCAGCTACACTGGAGGCCTAAGCTTGCTTCTAGGGGCTTGGTGGGACTCTTGCACAGCAGCTGTCTTTCAGCTTACATCATGAGGCCACTCCTTATTCATAGCGACTAACCAATGGACGTGCATGGAAGTCCATGCATGCATAAATGTGTGCCGATGCCTCTCCTGTCTCCTAGGTCACAAAACCCCTCTATGTCATGATTTTTTTTCTCTCTCTCACTTTAGACATACATTTTAAAAGCCAATCTTAAAGTCTAGGCTCATTTCTGGGCTTGCTGCTTGTGATCCAAGCACTTGGGAAGCTGATGGGAAGACAGGATTGCCACGAGTTCTAGGTCAACCTGGAGTGTAAGATGATTGTTTATTTAAACAAACAAACAAACAAAAGCTCGGATGTGATACCACAAAGCTGTCACGTTCGCACTTGTAAGATAATCTGAAGCAGGAGGAATGCTGAGATTTCAAGACTACATAGTTAGTATCAGAGGTATACAGCAAGATGTCTTTAAAATAAAAAAAAGAAACAAAACAACAACAACAACAAAAACAAAGACAACAAAATGTAGACTCATTGACTGGACCAGTTCAGTTCCTCTCTCCTCCATATGTTTGCTGAGTGAAAAAGAACTTCCCACATCCACTGGGATGGTAAGTGAGTCACTTTTGCACAATGGGATTGCTCTGTCCGGACACAGAATACTCAGGGTGAGCTACTTATACCGCTATCTTCCTGGCAGACATACTGCTATATATTTTATCTTTCCTCTTCAACCCCATTTTTCAAGCTCCTAGGAGCCAGCAACACTCCCATAAATTTTGTTGACCAGCATTAACTATTATATGCCACTATCATAATAAGAACTTTACAGGTTTATTTAACGTTCATAGCAACGCTTTCAGTAGGAATTCTCACTCCATTTCATAGATTAAGAACCAAGGATCACAAAGCTCAAGTAATTTTCCAGGGTAGGTAAGTGGCAGCATCAGGATTCAAATGCAGATTTGTCTGAACTTACCACCAAACCCCTCTAGTCAACCTCATACATTATTATTTATCTGGTTTCGTTTCCAATTTTGAGACAGTGAAGCTCACGCTTTCCTGGAATCCCCATCCCCAAACCTCAGCCTCCTAAGCATTACTGATGTGTGCCACCATAGCTGGCATCAATGCGGACTCATCAAGAAGAAGGCTGCTGTGCTGATATACACCTGTAATCCCAGGACTCACAGAGATCTGCTCACTTCTTCTTCCCAGAGAGCTGGGATTAAAGGTGTGCATAACACCAGACTACAAAACAGGCATTTTAAAGCAAGCAACTGACCAGCTCTTCAACCTGTCTGCAGAGAATGCCAGACGGGAAAAGCTAAGAATACACTTTACGCTGGCACTGCCAGACTTCACTTTTATGTTTTCTTCAGTGTTTTTCCACTCCTCGCCAATTTCAGTTTAGACTTTGTTTACCTCTTCCATGAACAATCTCAACACTCTTCTAACCCCACTGTCTCTAAATTTAAAATATATCTAGAATCTGACCACGGTTTATCATTCCCCTACATTTCTAAAAAAATCTCCCAAGTGTTTGTGGTCTATCCTCTACCTGCAAAGTTCAGTCTCAGTTTACTGATGTGTCCCTTTAAAGGATTCAATGAGCCTGGTGGTGATGGCCCTGCCTTTAATCCCAGCACTTGAGCAGAAGGAAATCTGAGTTCGAGGCAAGCCTGGTCTACAGAGTGAGTTCCAGGACAGCCAAAAAGAAAAACCCTGTCTCAAAAAACCAAAAGAAGTTGTGTATATGTGGGGGTGGGGTGGGTGGAGGTTCTCTGAGGGAAGATTGTACCTTCTCCACTCCACCAGCGGCTGTACTTCTCCCTACTCTGCCATTCCCACTTTATGGCCCATCCTTTTCTCCAGGATGGTGATGGCTCTTCCCTTTGCCTTCAATTCCTTATATGAAGAGACTGCTCTCTCCCCTCCTTGCCTTGTCCAATGAAGGGTTTCCGTCAATACCCAGGTTGCAATCTCTCTTATGATTCCGGGACTTCCACTCTCCCTTGGCTTGATCTATTTTTGGTTTTAGTCACTGAAGCCTAACACATTACATAAAACAGGACATCCATTGTGTTTATAGTATTTCCTCACTAAAGGAAGCTCTATGATGTGTGTGTTTTGCTCACTGCTGTATTCTTAGCATATACTGTGGAGTACATAGTTTGTTCTCAGCAATACTTGCCAAATCACTCTTTTAAATAAATGACTGTGTGTGTGGGGAACTGATATAGCCTCAGGTCAATGCATTATATTTACCCTATGGCTGTGAGTGCTTGAGTCTTGATTTACCCTGCAGGCAATTAAAAAAACGCTTGAGAAATCAGGCAATGGGAGTCATCAGCAAGAGATTCATTTAAAGTAAATTTTGTTTTTTCTGTTTTTCTTTTGATTTTTCAAGACAGGATTTCTCTGTGTAACCTGGCTGTCCTAGACTTGCTTTGTAGACCAGGCTGGCCTCTGCCTCCCAAGTGCTGGGATTAAAGGCATGAGCCACCACACTCAGCTGATAAATTCTGTTTTAATCAATCCATTCTGCCTCCTGGAGACAGAACTAAGAAAGCTGAAATTATAAATCCATTATAATAATTCAGAAAGAGAAGATAAAAGCTTGAGACATTTGCCACATGGAAGGAAAGACACAACGACCCAGATGGATATGGGGTGGGGGGCAGATTAAGTTTTAGGGCTCTACAAATGAAAATATAATACCACAGTAATGGAAATACAACACCCCAAGAGCTTGTTTGCAAGTGGAGCAGGGAAGTCTCCTGCACTTAAATTAACATTTACCTTATTAATGTACCTACAAACAATTTAAGTGACTAAGATATAGAAGTCACTCTGGTACAAAGCAGTGCAATAGAGTCTAAAGGAACCCTGTACGATCTCTGCTTATGTTCCCATTTATCAGTGTGCTGAGCTGGACTTTGAGCAGAGATTCCCTTCTAAGGAAAAGGGCAGGAATGCTGTCTTGTGGGTTTAAAGTTTCAAGTCAACTGTGGACCAGGAGATAAAGACCTATGAACATTCCAGGAGACTTAAATGACTGGAATCCATTTCACTGGAACACTTCAAAACTAGGCTATTTCCTTGAGTCCCCCAAGGACATAGTTCAATCAATTTAGTTCAAACAAAATAGTTCAATCCATTTCTTACATAATTTGAATCTTAGCCCCATACCCTACCTGGAAAGTTCTCTCGATTGAGCTTAGGCCTACGGATGATCACAAAGTCTTTGTCACTCCCTTTGCTTTTTAGCCGTTTCCTTGGAGGGCTCTGGGGGTGGCCGAGGTTTGAGAGCAGTTCATGGGGGATGTTCTCACTGTCCACCTCCTCCTTCTCCAAGGCAGAGACACCCATGCCTGATAGCAGCTCAGAAGTCTTGCTGGAATCCCATCCCCACGTGAAGCTGGTGGTGACGTTGCTACTCTGGTCCGGAATCTCCTGAAGGTGCTTCCTGCAGAAGGGCACACATTCCCCATTCCTTTTGAAAGCACACCCCTAAATAATTCCAAGGTAGGAATGAAAGAATCGTCACATATGCAGTGTAGAAAAGTCATAGCAAGAAACAGCACTGCATTTTTTAAGGTGACTACAGTGTGAAAAATTCAAGAATGAAAGAGAAAATCGGAAACACAATCACACCTCACTTTGAAAAGCTGTGGGATTTATGGTCATGCAGAAGGCCTCAATAATTTCTTTCCGTGGAGGGAAAAAGACAGACGGCATTCATACCGTGATTCAAAATAGTGGAAGGAAAACCTAATTAGGAAGCCAAATTAAACGGAAGGTCGACATTCAGACTAAAGATTTATCCATCCACTTTCTTTAAAAGAAGGGACTAAGCAACTACCATTCACATAACAAGATTATTTTAGCAAGAAGCAACATTCGCGGCCTAAAAGAATTCAAACAGTTCATTCATGCTTTGCTCGTCTTTGCAATCGGTTTACCTGTGCATGGTAATTTACTAATTCAGGAGTTCTGAATGCTTGCAATTAATCGATGAGCTGCCTGCTTGCCTCCCAGACCCCCGCTCCAGCGCGCGGCGAACAGTGATCCCCGGGGCCCCAGCAGCTGGACCCGCGAACTAGCAACGTTCCATCACTACCGCGCGCGCGGAGTTCTGCATCCCGCTCTCCAGCAGCCGCCTTCTGACGCCCCGTCGCCTGCTGGGAATTGTAGTTCCGAGCCTGGCTCATAGTCCGACTACTTTCTCTCTTACTTCCTCCACCCATATTTTGGCCAAACCCTCCAGATACCCACAACCCCCCGCGGCGCAGAGAGGGACTGAAGACGGAGGACGGGCAAGCGGAAGTGGGCGGAGCTTCGGCTGACGGGGAAATGTCAGCCGATTGACTGGGAGTGGGTTATCCTTTCCCCGGAGCCCATTGGCCTTCGGGTGACCACCGCCACGGTCGCCTCGGACTGTGGGTCCCTGACCTCGGGAGGCTGCGGCGGACGCGAGGCTTCTCAGTCCATTTCGGACGCTGCCTGGCGGGATCCGACGGTGAGCCGAAGAGGGGCGGGGGCGCGCGGGGCGCGTCGGGGTCTGGGGTCCCGGCCCAGCCTTGGCGGAGATAGACCGGGGGGCTCCAGATCCCGAGCGGTCGCCGTCGCCAGGCCCATCTCCGGGGTCTCGGTCTCCCGCCAGGTGAGAGGCTGCGGGCGGCGTGCCAGGCAGCCGGCCGTCCGGCTGCTAATTTCACCTGGCAGTGGGCGGCCCTTAGGACTGGGTCTGTGGACGTGATCCGAACCTCACCTAGAAAACAGGCGAGTGGAAGCCTTTTGAAGCCCAAGCGCAGTTCCAAGAGAAGCAGTGGTTTAATTTTAGGGCAGCAGGTGCCGGCAGTGGTCCCCCTTGTATGCTTTCCTATCCTTGATGGCTCTCTCAAATGCAAAAGGAAGAATGACGCTATTCTTGCAGTAAGAAACCACCTTGAGAAGGTGTTACGGTGTGTCTGACTCAACCCACAGCCTCTCTTTGAATCTCTGCCCAAAAACTATGCTAATTCAGCCTCTCTGAAGAGGTCCGGGGCGATTAGATTAGAATGACCATGCGAAATTCAAAGTGTGTAGACTGCTGAAAAATGTGACTCCGGGGCAACAGGGTAGGGGGTAGGGGAATGCATTTCAAGTCCATTAAAAATGAGGAGGATTTCTAAAGCTGAGAAAAGGCAAGCTAACTTCACTTAAAACGCGCGAATACTGTTTTAGTATGTTAGATGACATACGTTTGTGTTTCTTGGTGGGAAGGGCGAGATTCCTTTCGTGATGGAATTAAATCCCACATGCTCAGGTATGTGTTTCTAGCCTGTTCCTTGCATCAATTACTTCGTGACAGAGGAAGCAATTCATGAAATTTAGTTCCTGAAAGTGAGATTGGTGTTAAAAAAAAATCTGTTTGCAAATTGATTTTAATTTAAACGAAGAAAAGACTAGGGAAACGAGTATTCACAGTTCATTCAACTGTTATGGAAAGTATGTTAAAACTAGACCTTCTACGATTTTATATAAGATTACCTTTTGTAACTTTGGAAAACACATTTGCCTTCACCTGAACTTTGTGCTTTCTGTTAGGATTGTAACTCACTCGAGAAAAAAAAATGTAGTAAGCATAAAATATAACTTTGTTCTGTGGTTTTAGCTAAGACTTTCCAGAGAATAGTAGGATATTTAAATTAGTGGACACTGTGTACTCTCTAGAATAGGAAAGCCAATGAACTTTGAAGAGCCTCTACTTTGCCTTGATAATGAACCTGTTTTTCTTTTACATTTCTAATCACAGCTGTTTTCTTAATATGGTGAAAAGGTTTAAATTGGCACACATGATTCTTTTTGGTAGAAGAATTGTGTCCATTGAAGATTTGAGGTTATTAGCTATGTAGTGACTGCTCCTGGTCTCTTAAAGTACTATGTTGTGATTGCTGCCAATGTAAAATATTTTATTTCCTGATTAATCTTATTTAATATTACTCAAAACACATTGCATTTCATTTTAATAAGCCTTAAAACAGTTTTAGCATTAGAATTAATCTGAGTTCATGATAAGAGAATAACTGAAGTGTCATTAGGTTGAATAATATCTAGTACTCTTTGGAAGCTTGAGCTAGAACACAAAATGATGTTATAATTGAGAAACATGAGATTTTTTGGAAAAGGCAATAACTGTCATTTTCTTAGTTAAAAACACATCATAGTTACAAGACAGTCAATGTTTTCAGGGCTCAGGAGATGCTAGAAAGGAAGGACTGCCCATCATAGCTGACCATGCTATATACGGTCTATGTGTGTATGCATGTATGCGTGTGTGTATATGAAGCCATGTATTCAGTACTAGTTGGTCCCATATTTGAAAATCAAATATAGCCAGAGTAATACAATTAAGCATAAGGGCAATGATGTACATAGAGAGTTTTAAGAAATTTCCCCCCTTATATTATTTACCTGAGGGGAACAAAATGCTGGAGATAGTTATAGCAAAAGTGTTTTCATACTTGGCTTTTTAAAATTTGATTTAATTTTATTAATTACACTTTATTCACTTTGTATCCCCCCCATAAGCCCCTCCCTCCTCCCTTCCCAGTTCCACCCTTCCTCCCCCTTCTTCACACATGCCCCTCCCCAAGTCCACTGATAGGGGAGGTCCTTCTCTCCTTCCTTCTGATCTTAGTCTATCAGATCTCATCAGGAGTGGCTGCATTGTCATCTTCTGTGGCCTGGTAAGGCTGCTCCCCTTCTCAGGGGGAGGTGATCAAAGAGCAGGCCAATCAGATTATGTCAGAGGCAGTCCCTCTTTCCATTACTATGAGACCCACTTGGACACTAAACTGCCATGGGCTACATCTGTGCAGGGATTCTAGGTTATCTCCATGCATGGTGCTTGGTTGGAGTATGAGTCTCTGGGAAGACCCCTGTGTTCAAAATTTTTCATACTTGGTTTTAAAATAATCTTCAGCTTTCTTTGGTTTAATAATCTGTGATGGGAAGACTAGATCAATAGCAAAAAGATCCTTACTCTGTTTTACCTTGTAGTTCTCCCATGAAAATTAGAAAAAGCTACTGTAGTCTAAATGGAATAATTACTCACGAAGTAAAAAGTTAGATTTTATATTAAACATGACTCTTTTAGCATCCAATTTTGATATAACTTGAAGAATAAAAGAATATTTTAAATTTATTCTTTATGAAAATGGAACCATAGAAATTATTTAGAACAACTTGCATTTAAAAAGGATGTTTGGATTGGAGATGAGACATGAAATTGAAATTCATCATCTATATTCAGGATGCTAGTTTGGATCTGTTTTGCCCCAAACTTGCTGGGAGAACATAAGTAAATTACTTATTCACTCTTCCATTTTCTCCCTTATTAAGCCAAAATTCTAACAATCTTTTCTCACGAGATTATGGGAACTAATTCAACAAAGCAAATAAGGTAAGCTGTAATATCCTAAATATAAACGAAATCTTCAAGTTCCTTTGTAAAAATTGTTACTTTGTGAAGAAGAAGTCTGATAGCAAACTAATTCTCAAAATTCTGAAATCCTCAAGGGTTTGTTGAAAGTTTAGTGTTCTCCTTACCCACTGACCTGGTTGCAAACTTCAGCCTTTCATGCCTTGCTAAAGATGAATCATCTGCTTGTGTCTCTTGCCACACTTTGGAATCCTTGTCACCTGGTTTGTCAAGTCCTCTCTTACGAGTACCAAAACAAAAACAAAGCCATTCTGACTTTTTGTCATTTTTAAAGTGAAACAGTCTCCTCTGCTATTGTCTTTTTTAAATTTAATTTTATTTATATATTTATTTATTACAATTACTTACTTTGTATCCCTGCTGCAGCCTCCTCCCTCATATCCTCCCAGTTCCACTCCTTCCGTCTTCTCCCCCTGTCCTTTCCCTAGTCCCCTGATAGGGGAGGACCTTCTCCCCTTCTATCTGACCCTAGCTTATCAGGTCTCATTAAGGCTGGCTGCATCATCTTCCTCTGTGGCCTGGCAAGGCTGCAACTGTAGTTGGAGTTGATCAAAGAGCTGGCCACGGAGTTCATGTCAGAGACAGCGCCTGCCTCCCTACTAGGAAACACACTCGGAAACTGAGCAGCCAGTAGGCTTCCTTTGAACAGGGCGTCCAGGCCCTTTCCATGCATGGTCCTTAGTTGGAGTATTGGACTCAGAAGGGCCCCTGGGCCCAGGTATTTTGGCTCTGTTTCACTTCTTCAGTTCTTTATATATTCTGGATATTAACCCTCTGTCAGATATAGGGTTAGCGAAGATTCTTTCCCATCCTGTAGGTTATCATTTTGTTCTGAAGACAGTGTCCTTTGCTTTTCAGAAGCTTTTCAGTTTCATGAGGTCCCATTTATTAATTGTTGCTCTTAGAGCCTGTGCTGTTGGTGTTCTGTTCAGGAAGTTGTCTTCTGTGCCAATGAGGTCTGGCTCTTCCCCACTTTTTCTTCTAATAGGTTTAGTGTATCTGGTTTTATGTTGAGGTCTTTGATATACTTGGATTTTAACCTTGTGCAGGGAGATAAATATAGGTCTATTTGCATTTTTCCACATGTAGACTTCCAATTAGAGCAGCACCATTTGTTGAAGATGCTTTCTTTTTTCTTTGTATCGTTTTGGCTTCTGTGTCAAAAATCAGGTGTCTGTAGGTATGTGGGTTTATTTCTGGATCTTTGATGTGATTCCATTGATCCACCGGTCTATTTCTATGCTAGTACCATGCAGTTTTTATTACTGTTGCTCCATAGTACAGCTTGAGATCTGAGAATGAGATATCTCCATAAGATCTTTTATTATACAGGATTGGTTTAGCAATTCTGGGGTTTTTGTTATTCCATATGAAATTGAGGATTGTTCTTTCAATGTCTGTAAAAAAATTTGTGTTGGTAATTTGATGGGGATTGCATTGAATCTGTAGATTGCTTTTGGTAGGATGGCCATTTTCACTATGTTAACCCTACCGATCCATGAGCATGGTATATCTTTCCATCTTCTCATATTTTCTTCACTTTCTTTCTTCAGTGACTTGAAGATTTTTTTTTCATATAGGTCTTTCATTTGCTTGGTTAGAGTTACACCAAGGTACTTTATGATATTGGTGACTATTGTGAAGGGT